TGGCCTGCAGCAGTTCTGCCTGGGCCGAGCAACCGCCCTCGGGGACGCGTCCAGCTCAGGCCACGCAGACCTCCTGGAGGACTGAGTGTCTTCACGTGGACACGCCGCAGAGAAACCTGGATCACGACAGCCTTCATCACAGGAACTTTCTAACGCGCGGCCCCACGGAATCTGACGACCGGCTCCGACTCGTCCCACTGGGAGCTCCTCGTGATTTAACTGTGTCCGGGGAGCATCTGGGGGCCAATGAGACTTCAGCTGGCGCCGTGGGTTTGGGGCTGCGGGCGCGTCATGGGAGGGCTCCTGCTGCGACACGGGGGAATCCACACGAGACGGTCTGGCTGGGGGGAACCGAACCAGAAGAGAAGTGGAGGGTTGGCCAGGTGCGCGTCTGCCAAGACTCAGGGACACACCCTCACTAACCTTCACCCGCGGGAGGCGAGCTGTGCAGGAGGCTGTGTGGGCCCTGGGGCCTGGGTCCCCTCTCCCAGCATCCTCGCTCAGGCACCGGGACAAGCTCTGCCTGCTCCTCTTCTGGCTCCATCCCGGGTCAGGGGGGCGCTGCTTCCCCAGCTCCATGCCCCAGCGGCCAGCGCTCTCACTCGGGTTCCAGGACTTCCCTGAGGTCAAGGTCAAGCGCCCAGGCCTGGGGCAGTCACGGGGAGGGGGGGACATGGGGTTCCTCCAGGAGAGAGTCCGTTACCAGAAGGGGACACAGAAGGTGCCATCTGCCCAGGCCTCCGGTCATCCCCTCCCACCCCCACTGAGGCAGGACCCGCCCCGTGAGGAGGGGTCACAGAGACCCGGATCCAAATTCGGCTTGGGCTCCTGCTTTCACAGGTCTTGGCCATTCGTTTTGCTCCTGAGCCTCAGTTTCTCCATCTGTAAATGGAAGAGGAGGTGACTGTGTACGGACATACTCGTGGCCCGCACTATTACGGCATTTTCCACGGACCAGCCTGTCCTGCTGGGGTGGGGCACAGTAAGAGGAACACCTCCCAAGGTCACCAAGGGGGCCAAGTGTGGAAGGCGCCGGGTCCAGCATGGCGGTCAGCAGGACACCGGGCAGGAGGGCAGGAAGGCCGGGTCAGGTCTGCTGGGCTCAGAGGCCTCCAGGGGTCAGGTGTCTGGCCTGAGAGCACTGAGAGCCCTGGATTTGCTGGGCGGGGGGCTTGGGGGAAATGGAGCTCCAGGCACAGGGAGGCCCCCAGTGTAGACGGGAAGGGGCCTGCCCAGGGTCACTGCCGGACCTGGTCCCTCTGCTCTTGACTCACGGCCCGACCCCTCGGCCTCCGCATGGACCCCACGTCCCAGCCGTTCCAGCATCGCTGTCGTGCGGCTCCGTGGTGCCCTGGAAGCTTCTGGTTCTCCAGGCTGGGGACAGAGGTGACACCGGCTTGGACCCCCAGGCCCAATAGCAACCTCTTTGAGTGACATTCCCCAGGGGTGATGCCATGTCCACCCCCCAGGGAGGGGCTCTGCGGTCTCCCCACCATTGCTCTCGGGCCCTCTGCGACCTCCCACCGGGGCCTTGGGAGTGAGTTTGATGTGCTGGTGGAAACCGCCCATCAGCAGGCTCTTCCTTCTGTCCTTCTGCCCAGTCTTCGTCCAAATGTGCGGGTCTTGTTTCAACCCACAGAAAAGCCAGGAGGTGTGCGGAGTGGGCGCTGGTGGGGTCTGTGGGCGCCGACGGCCGTCTGTCTTGTTAGGAGGAAGAGGAAGGGGCTGAGACGGACGGAGAGGGCAGGCGGGGGTCCCACCAACGCGAGGCGAAGCCACTGGCGTTAGGACAGGGCACATGTGGCAGAGAAAAGCAAGCTGATGCCAGGAGCTGGCCTGTGTCACCAGGACTGGAAGACAGCAGGCATTTTCCACACAACATGGCAAGTGCCAGCGTGCCAGCAACCATCCCGGGCCCCAGCCGGGACACAGGATCCTGCGTCGTCCTCTGGCCGAGGTCGGGACGGTCCATTGTCCTCAGCCATCCTGCACACGGAGGACCCTCCCAGATGCTTCCCAGGCAGCCAGGACTCAAGCAGACCCAGCTGGACAAGAGCCTAAAGCTCCCAGGAAGCGAACGACAATTAACAGTCATTGTTTAACAAAGGGATGGTTTTCCTTCACCTTCAGCTAGAAGGAAAGGTTATCTGCAGAAACGTGGTCCCTGGTGGCCCGGCTGGGCTTGGAGAGTCAGGCAGGCTGATTATCATAAGAAAATAATCTTCCCAACACACTCGCCCTCGCAGGAACGGGCACAAAGAGCAATTTCAGGTCATCTCGGGAACGTCGTCCTGCCCCGGGGGAAGCGCCTGTGCGCCCTGGAGGCCAGGCAGCCGTGTCCCGCCATGGAGGAGACCCCCAGCCTGCGATGCCGGGCCCCCCTTTCTGGGGAGCCCCACTGGTCAGCTGGATTTGATGCCCTTAGGAGCGGGAGATCACGGAACCTGCGCAGGGCGGACGCCTGTCTGTGACCAGGCGGTTAATCACTGGGTCAGCCAGTGCTGGGCGCCCTCGGAGGGTAGCGACATCCCAGTCCCAGCAGGACGCGTCCTTGGTCCCGAGCTCCCAGGCGCAGTGCTGACCTGGTGACTCTTAAGAGTCGGGCGCTAATATTGGGTACAGGGTGAAGGTGGCACCGGACGTGAACAGGGGTGGTTCCATGTCCGGGGGCCCCTGGACCCCGAGGGCACTGCCATCCCTGGTGGATCCTCTGGGAGCCCGCCCTCGGGGGACACCCACCCACACGCAGGCTGAGATGGCCAAGGACCTTACTAAGGGGTGGCTTCCACCGGAGGAGGACGGAAGCCACGGGCCCTCGGACTCTCATTTCACCCTCAATGCGTTTCTTTTCTTCAACAATCGTAGAGAAGCTCTAAACAGGCTGAAACAATGATACCCCTTCTGGGACTCTGCAAACTTCCACTGTCACAAGCGGCAAAGAGCAACAGTGCCTGTGAGAGATTTGAGGCAAAGGCCCAGGGAGGCCACCAAGGTGGGCGGCTCATGCTCCCTTACCTGGCCATGTTCCTCGGCCTCAGCCCGTGGTTTGGGTCATCCACCCATCCAGCCCTTGGTTCCTTGGCTTGGCCAAGACTACAGGCCCTGACTCCACTGGCCAAACCCCGCGTCCTTCCAGCAGCTGAGACCCCACCTCATGTCCTCCCTTTCCCATGGCCCCCAACCAGGTCTCTCCTGGACCCAGCTTCTACGCTGTTCATCCCCTCTCTGCTCGGACCTCCAGCGGCCCCCACCCCCACTCCCTCGGGGCCCCATGAGACTCACTCCTGCCCTGTCCCTGCAGTGGTTCCGTCACGCCCGCCTCCCCGCCATCCTCAGCTGGCCAGGCTCGCACCTCTCACGCCTCTTGGGGTCTTTGTACTTGCCGTCCCAGGGTAGACCCTGAGAGGGCCCCCGCGTGCTGCAGCCCCCCGGCCTCCGTCCCCCTCCAGCCTCTACCCGGTATTTTCTTGCAGCATCTCCATCCTCTAACACGAGGTGTTTTGTCGGCTGGTGTTTCCCCCACAGCGCAGACCCAAGAAGGGTTGCTGCTGCCTCCTCGGGCTCTAAGACCGGCAGTGCTCAATTTTCTACAATCGCAGAATTCTTTCTCCAAACAAGCCTGGCGGTGGACCGTCCAATGGAGGAGCAGCCGGACGCTGTGCCTCCGCGTCCCCGTACAATCACACCGCCACCACCCTCCCCGAGACCACACACTGACGACCACAGTTTATTTTCCCTAAAAGGGAAGGTAATGGTCACGGTGCAAGTTGTGCACAGCTCTCACCCAAAACAAAATTCAAGAGTAGGAAAAAGCACCATTTCTAGAATTCTAGCTTTCTAGAAAATTTATTTTATTAATAATATTTAAATGTACAAACTGAAAAAGAATAAATATTTCATCATTTCACTCTGCACAGCTCTGAGTGACAGCACAGAATCCTACCGCGTGCTCAGGACCAGATTTCAAGAGCGTGGGAAGGAGACACAGGAAGAACGGAGGCGGCCTGGACCCACCGGGGGGCTGGTCACCCCGATGTCCGGGGGAAGTCGGGGCTCCCGGTCAGTGAGGACACGGCGGGGATCCCGAGGCAGCGCTGCTCCACGCTGACCCCCGGGCCCCGTGGTGGCCCCTGGAGACGGCAGTGCTCAAGGTCTTGAGAGGCTTTCCGAAGCAGCAGAGCCCCAAGCACGGCAGCCTGGCCCCGGGGCTGGAGCACCTGCGCTCCGCCCTCCCGTCGGCCCCACCTCCACCAGGGAGGGGGGCAGTGCTGGGGGCCCTGCGGACAAGCGCTGCTGCGAGTCACGGCTGCAGGGGCAGCCGGCCCAGACGCAGACGTGAGGACCCACTGTTGGCTTCCTACCACCACAGAGAGCTTCTCTCCACGTGCACAGGACACATCACTGAACTCCCACTGAGGAACTTGCTGGCACTCTGACTCGCAGGGGAGAGAGACGACTTCATGGGTCTCGGACCCGGCTCTTCGAGGCAGCCATTCACCTCCCCCCCTCACATGAGGTCCCGCGGTGGAAAGGGCAGAACTAAGGACTCTGCTCTGGCGCCACTGCAGAAGCTACGATGACTAACAAGAGACGAAAACCGCACCGAGTCCCAGGCAGCGCCAGCCCCGCGGCCCTCTGGGGCCGGAGCTGCTCACGTCCCGCATCTGCCCGACTCAGGGCTGGAAAGCCCCAGACGGAGGCCGAGACCAGCGTCACTCGGGCCCTGCCAGCAGCAGACAGTTCAGACCTTACGAAACACAACCCAAGTCCCGGAGAGCGGCAGCCTCTCCACAGGCAGACCACGGCCGGAGGAAACACCAGAACAGGCACAGCTCCAGACCCAGTGTGGCTCCATGCCGTGGCTCACGTGGCCGTGGGCTGTGCCTGCATGTGTCCTCCTATGGGCCCAAGACCCAGAGAAGTGACGGTCTGCCTGCCCAGCCCACCGGCCGGGGTGGGAGCGAGCTCCCGGTGACACGTGTCGTCAGAGGGAAGCCCTGAGTGCACAGCGGGCACGAGAGGTCCAGGGCAGAGGGGACCAGGGGGCGCGGGCTCAGTACGCGATCCTCCAGTGCGTGGGCTGCTCGCACACTTTCTCCTGGTCTCCGCAGAATCGGTTGTATGTCGTCTTGGGGTCCAACCCCAGAATTTCCCTTTCCTCATGAATCCGAAAAGAAAACGTGGAGACCGAGGTGCCAATGAAAACCCTGCAAGGAAGCACCAGGGGTCAGCACGGGAGAGCCGACCCCCTGACCCCCCGACGCCTGCCCGCCTCTCCCTGGGCTAATCCCTGCTGCCGAGCGGCCAGGGCTGGCAGGACGGATCAGACACTGGAGGAGCCCGAGGCCAGGCTGGGGGCCAGCACGGGGGGCCGGCCTGAGACCCCTGCAAGATGCTGGCTGCTCGGGGCGGGGGCTCAGAGCCAAGCTTGGACCCCAGAGGGGCAGGACTTCCAGCTGAAGGACAGAGCGACAGCAAGGCTGGGGCAGCAGGAAGAAGAAAATCTCCAGCTGCCAGGTCCCCTCCAGGACGGCGGGCTTGGGGTGCACACAGCCGAGGTGTGCCCCTGACATCCGCCAGATCTGAGGCTAGGAAAGGCAGGCAGAGGAATAGCGAAGCTCAAAGCATCCCTCAGCAGAAATCAGGGGGCCGAGGGACAAGGCTATGGAGGGCCCAGCCGAGGCACAGGGCTGAGACCCGCCCCCACTCCGTCTGCTCAGAGGAGGGAAAGGGCCCTCGCCCTGCAAGATGGCTTCCCTAGCCTTTCATGCGCCATGCCCAGCACAGGACAAGAGATTCCCGCACCCCTCACGCAGGACAGATGCACACATCGACTTGTTAAAACCAAATATGCACACAACCAGCGTGCCTGAGAACGCTGGAAACGCAGAAAATCATCTGCTCCACCTTTATTTCCCCTCTCACTGAGTGTTCTTATCTCATCCCGGCCCTGGTCTCCCAGGGCTGATGGACACTCGAGTCCACAGAGGAATCCACACAGAGACCCAGGCCCAACGCCCCCCAGGAGGGCCAGCCTCCACGAGAACAATCCACAAAAACAATGCAATAAAGGGCCGGTGCTTGCAGACTCACAGGATGCCCTGTGCTCAACCTTCAGCGACAGGCGCACGATCAGGGGCAGAGCGGGGCGGGCGGGGCAGGGCTGAGAATGAAGGAGGCCCCTCCCTGCCGCCCCCTCCCTGCTGCCACAAGATAGAGGAGAGGTCTCAGGGGAAGTAATGACGACAGTGCACCGTGGAGGAAGCCCGTGAACGAGGACCACAGGAGGAAAACGAATAGCGACCATCCCTGAGGAGCCCTGAACCAGTCACGAGAGACTTAAGCACAACGATGGAGCAGACGGCAGGGAGGTGACCCGAGGGGGACAACAGCCGCCATCTGCCATGACCACCGAGACTCTAAGGACTCCTGGGCCCAGCCCCGCGCGCAGGGACAGGCACCTGGCGTGTGAGCAGATCCACTGGTCGATGATGGCCACGCCGCCGTCCTTGTACAGCTCCAGCTCCTCCCACGTGGGCTCGAAGCGCACCATCTCAGGCAACAGCTTTTTCAGCTCTTCGTACTCTGCAAGTGAAAGGACAGGCCGGTGAGCTGGGATCTGCAGACGACAGACAGCCGTCTGCTGAGCGGGATGACACGCGTGCTCTGGTCCGTGTCAGCTCTTAAGAGCCGGCTAAAGAGGAGGAGGACAGAAACACAGAATTCAGGGTCACCCCCCGGAGTCAGGGTGGAGGGTCAGGACGCACGCGAGGTCCACCCAGGACTCCAACCGCGCTGAGGACAGATGGATGGACACCAGGGCTATGTACCCTTTCTGATGGCGTCTGTGGCCACGAACACCCTGTCCAGCTGGTAAGTCTTCATGAGGCTGCGGATCTGCTTCACGGCGCCGTCCAGACTGGGCACATCCTCTCTGTGGCCCCAGATGAAATCTTTTCTCCTCAGGTGAACTCCGAGGTACGGGCCCCCCAGTGAGGAGCCCAGCTTGACCTGGCGAAGGAGGACGGGACATGCCGAGACGCTCCTACGAGCTGAGCTGGCATGAAACAGGAGCAGCTTGGAATGCAGAGGGGCGAGTGCGTCCACCTGGCAGCATCCAGCACGTGGAGTCTGTCTACGGGGTTCTCAGGGCAGAATCGGGGGGAGGCGGGGGCGAGGATGACACTGGATGTCTTTCTAAGACCCTGAAGTGGTTAAATTACCACAGACCCTTTTATCTCAGAGAAACAAAAATAGTAAATGAAACATCTGAAAAAAATACAAATTGGATAAAAGAGAAAAACCTCTAATACTGTATTTTTCCAGTAAAGACTATCCAAACGACCTGATAATTACTGCCTGAACAACACCATTCCACTTGGAAACATCCCAAATGTCCGGTAAAAAACAGGGGAATGGTGTTCCTCTCTATGAAACCATTTCCTGTTAAAAACTACACTAAAGGAGATTAAAACAACTACATTATACTGAAAATGCTTAAAAACAATGTCCATTTGAAAAAGCAGCATGCTATTTGCTGAAATTACATTATACAGAAATGCAACCTTTTAGAAAAAATTTTGAAAAAGGATGACGCTCAACCCAAGGGCATCCAGGGGCTTCTGTGAATCCTGCTTGTCTTTTCTTTACGGCTCTTATATCACAGAGACAAAAACACTGAAGGTAACTCCGACCACCTTTCACTTCCCCCTTTCCTATCTAGACGTCACCTCCTTTCAGTCTAAGAACCGCTCCCGGCGGATGGGACCTGCAGCGATCTCCCCATTTCACTGAAGGGAGGACTGTGCCCAGCGACCTCCCGTGAGCGGATCTGCAGTAATTACGGTCACGTGGCCTAAGAAGCCCAAGCACCGGGGACAGGGACCGACGCCCACCCCCGCTGACCCTTCCTGAGTTAAAGGCTGCGTTACCGTGCACTAAGAAGATAACTGACACCCCTCTGATTACAAGAGGTGGGAACTACCTTCATCCGGGTCCAGTCCTCCTCGAAGGGGATCCTGTCTGCCTCGTCCGTGGAGTTCAAGTACCTGCTTCTGAACTCGTCCCCCACGGCCCGCAGGTGCCTGGCGAACACCATGCTCCGCCGGGTCTGTGGGCGCAGACAACAGCGCTGCTGAGTGCCCCACCATCTCCCCCAAGCCCGAGACAAGCCCCTGGGGCCCGAGGATCTGACGGAAACACCTAGGACGGGAAGCCGGAGCTCTCGGGAGGGCCAAATCACGCGCAGGTGCCTGAACCAGGCGATGAGGTGGTCCAGGAGAGTGAGAAGCTGTCAACATCGAAACAGCAGATGGTATGGGGTGCATCCAGGAGGCACATCACCATGCACTGCGTCTGTGACGCTCAGAGAGGCTCTGCAGGCTGACACGATGACCCCATCCCCTCCCCCGAGGGGCCCCTTGGCCTGGGGGCCAAGCCCAGTTAAGAAAATGTGGCTGACACGGTGGGGGGATGCGCTGAGGGGGCACCACCCTTAGAGGCTAGTGGGGGGACCACAACGCTGACAAGAGGCACAGAACCGCTGTCCACAGTGATGACAAGGGCACTTCCGTGCTTCTGAGACGACCCGCCCAGGAGGCGCCCAGGTCACATGTCCAGGGAGCAGGGGTCTCGCCTGGGTCCACTGCCCCGCGCCTGACTCCTGCCCAGCCCAGCCTGCCCAGAGGAGGCTCCACGACCCAGACTCGAGGGCTGGGGAGGTCATCGCTGCAGAGGGGACGTCTCAGGCTCCCCCGACCGCAGCGACAGGAAGTGGTGCACTCCCGGACTCGGACAGCCCAGTTACCTTACGGTTAACAGCAACGTGGGCACCGCCCTGCAGGAGTGGTGTCGAGATTACAGGGTGATACTAACTGCATCTTCGTGAAAGCAAAGTACTGGCTTTTCCTTTTTCAAACATTAGCCGCCATAAATCACAACCCTGTAGCTCAGTCAACAAGCCTGGGAGCCCCGAGCAGCCCACACAGAAGCCGTGACGCCCGGGCACCAGGGCGCAGAGTCCCGCAGAGGGGCCGCTGGGGGTGACGGCGCCGCTGGGCGCCTCCACGGGGCAGCCCCAGGCAGGAAGGGGGCAAAAGATAATCTACTGAAGACGCACATGAGTCCCGCAGACGGGAGGAGAGAACGGGTGGAAGACGCGGCCTCAGTGGCGATCTCAGGGTTCGTTCTTTTCAAGAAAGCTGGAATTTACCTAAAAACTGATATTTTACTCCAGCAGCAGACAAATAACGCACCTCTGAGAATCAGTTTCTCTCCACATACCAGGATCCAGGTAAGACTGGGGCTGACTCTGGGGGGAGTTGCCCCTTGCCCAACGCCCCGTGTCCCCCACCCCCAGATCCTTCTGGAGGCCTGGCGCCAGGCTCCTGTGTGCAGCTCACTACAGGGAATGCCGCCTCCTGGCCCAGCAGAGGCCCCGACAGGCCAGGCCAGGCCACGCCGGGCACAGCTCCTCCACCTTGCCCCCCAACCGAAGCCTCAGGCTTCTCTCGGGAAATGCTTTATGCCTTTGCCACAATGGACTGGACTGCGGAGCGCCTGTCTTTTCCAAACCACGATGGACAAGCCGTCACCAATGCCGAGACGCCAGCAGAATGCTGCTGCCAGAATGAGAGAAGCCACTCTCGGCCCCCGCCCTGGTTATTCTGCCGCAACACCAAGACACCAGAGCCAGCTTCTCCCCGTCAGAGCGGAGACGGGTGCCGATGTTAAGGACGGCTGGCAGAAAACACCCCTACCTTTCAGAGTGGCAGAGAGAGGAGCAGAAAGAGCTCTCATTCTAGTTGCTGAGCAAGTGAACAGATGTGGGGGAGGGCTGGGGGCCGACAGTCTCCCAGGACCAGGGCCCGGGCACCAGGGCCCCAGGACCCTCACCCCCCGAGTCCTCACCCTGCGGCACCCGCGTGCAGGTGGGGCGAGTCCACTGCTGGGCCCACAACCGTGCTGCTGAGAGCCTGTGCCTTCAGTCAGCAGGCTGAGAACAAGAGTGGTCGACCGTCTCAGATTTTCGAAAACTAAACAAACTTAAACGACACAAGAAAATTTAGAAAGATGCTGGCCAGGTGACACTCACATCCCAGTACTCCTTTCCTCCGTAGTGGTCGTGAAGCAGGTTTTCGGCTCTGTCTAACATCACGGACCTATTTTTAAACAAGAGGAAAAGAAAGAGTTTAACTCTAAAAATGATTCTATTCCCACACTCCAGAGAGTCCTGTCATCGTGGGGGCCTGCACGGGCAGTGACCCTGTTGGGTCACCAGGTGCATCTGGGCAAATTATTGCTGACGCTGTGAGAGGCAGCTGTCTGGCTCTCCACACCACGATTCTGAGAGTTTCCAATTCCTAAGTGATTCTGAGCACTCATGGCCTCTCTCCCATCCTAGCCACTGAACTGGCTGTTACCAAGCTCGCTTGTGACTGTCGATGCAAAAAAGAAAACAAACAACTATGCAAAACAAATAACATTAGCAAACAGAACCCGCCAGTATATGAAAAGAATAACACACATGACAAAGGAAGCTCATACCTGGGATGCAAAGAGGGTTCAATATCAGAAAATTGATTACTTACCTCCACACTTAACAGGTGAGGGGCACAGCCATATAATGACAGATACCACAGAGGCATAAAAGGCAGTTTTACTCCTATTTCTGAAAAATCACCTTAATAAAATAGGGACTAGGTACCCTTACCATGTTCGTGTTTCTCAAACCAAAAGCTAGCACTTCTTCACTGAATGCCCGGCTCCTTCCTTGCACAGTGAGAGACAAGAGAGGCTGCCCTTTAAGAGGTAATCAAACAACCCGAAGCATCAGATCATGCATAGAGACACTCCAGGAAGAGGCCCATGTCTACTCAGGACCGGGCGATCCAGGCGGCACAACAAATCTGAGAGGAGAGGGCTCACGAACAACACGCTGCACTGTGGAAATGCGGAAGTGATCAGGAGCCTCTGCTTGACACAAAATAGATCTTCAGAGGCTCAGAAGCTGAAACTATGAAAGTAGAACATAAAAGAATTTTTAAGAATATCGGGATGGTAAAGGTTGGAATAAAAAAAACAGTTAACAGATGAATACATTTCAACATATAAAAATTAAAAACTTCTGCAGAGAAAGAAACTGGCAAAAGATTTCAACGGGTGCACAAATGAACAGACCAGGGACCCACTTTTCACCTCTCAACTCCACAGAGACCAGAGCTCTCTGCCCTGGTGGCCACAGAGGGACGATGCCCCAACGGCTATCACTCAAAAAGCACACACCCCACGGACCCAGGCATTTCTGTTCTGGGTGTGAGCCTCCATTTTTACTCCCCCACATTTCTGCAAAAATGTCTCCTGTTTGTAACAGCAAAAACCTGGAAACAACCAGAGGCCACCCACTTGGGCAGGTTCAATCCACTCTCTTACTTCTGTGCAAGGATGACTGCAAAAGTCTGTAACACCCAAGTGTGTGGTTAAGAGGGAAAAAAGGCAAACAAAAACCTTGTAGAGAACATGTATATGGTAGGACCCCATCTGTGTTTCACAAGGGAGATGAACACAAATTTATTTCATAGGTGTAGAAAGTTTTGGAAAAAACTGGGAGTGGCTGGATACAGTAGTGGCCCCTGCGGTCAGGGCAAGAGCAAAGAGGGTTTCCCAAGCATTTGTTTTATTATAAAATGCAATATTGCCTGTGGAAATGAGCATTCCATCACATACACAGTTGAACAAACCACTCTACAACAAACACTGCAACCCCCTGGCTGCAGAGTAGAGCTCTCTACACATCTGGCCCCCGCCCCCAGCGCCTCCCTATGCACCCCGTCTCTACCTCCCCCTACGTGTCCCTATGTTGCAGGTTAGCCGGGCCTGTCTTTGAACTTCATGCAAATAGAATTTGACTGGATTTACATTCTGCACTTTTTCCACTCAACATTACATCCACACGCTTTAACTTTGTTGAACACAGCAATGGTTTTTTCATTTTCTTGGCTGAGCCATGTTTCAGTTTTGAATATACCACAACCTACGCATCCAATCTACTGCTGAAGGACATGAGGGTTTTTCTGGTTTGGGGCCATCATGAACATTCTGGAATGCAGTGGGTGCACATGCACTGCATGTAAGTAGGGCTGGGTTTGCTGGGTCACAGGTCTGCCACCTTCAACCTGAAGGCCAACTGTGCCCAGCATTGTTCCCAAATTCTGCCAGCAGCAGCATGCTCATCCCTGTCGCCCCATCCTTCCAAGGGCGTCACTAACGGGCAGAGCGCGGCTTTCCTGGGTTAACGCTGGCCCGGCCATGTCTCCTCTGGCCGTGTACCCGACTGTGTCCTCTGCTGAACTGACTACAAGGCTGCCAGCCCTTTCTTCCCTGGTTTTTAGGACCTCTGTCTATATCCGGGATTGAGTGCTTTATTAATCAAACATGCTGACAGTATCCTCTCTTCCTCTGTGGTTTGTCTTTTCATTTTGTTTAATAGTATCTTTTGATGGACAGAAATTCTTAATTTTAATGTAATTGAGTTTACCAATCTTTCCTTTTTTGGTTAGTGCTTTTCACATCTTGTTTAAGAAATCTTTCCCCATCCCACGGTCATGGGGCTGTTTTTTCCTAAAAGCTTCATGGTTTTGCCTTTCCTGTTAGGTCTTTATCCACTGAGTCTCTGTGTGGGGGAGTGACTCCCCCAACCGTCCAGCCTCACGTCTCTCAAAGGGCACCGCCCTCTGCTCGCTGCTCCTCACCCAGGGGCCTCTGGGCACGGGTCTCTCTCCAGGCTCTGCTCCGTTCTTTTTTTTTTAATTGCAGTAACAGTGGTTTATAACATTATGTAATTTCAGGTGTAGATCATTATACTTCTATTTCTGTGTAGACTACATCATGTTCACCACCCAAAGACTAATGACAATCCATCACCACACACACGTGCCTAATCACCCCTTTTGCCTTCCCCACTCCCCCCTTCCCCTCTGGTAACCACCAATCCAATCTCTGTCTCTATGTCTTTGCTGTTGTTTTCATCTTCTACTTATGAGTGAGATCATATGGTATTTAACTTTCTTCCTCTGACTTATTTTGCTTAGCATAATACCCTCAATGTCCATCCATGTTGTCACAAATGGCTGGATTTCATCGTTTCTTATGGCTGAGTACTATTCCATTGTGCATATATACCACATCTTCTTTATCCATTCGTCCCTTGATAGGCATCTAGGTTGCTTCTAAGTCCTGGCTATTGTGAATAACGCTGCAATGAACACAGGGATGAATGTATCTTTACGTATTCATGTTTTCAGGTTCTCTGGATAAATACCCAGCAGTGGAATAGCTGGATCATATGGTACTTCTATTCCTAATTTTTTGAGGAATGTCCATACTGTTTTCCATAGTGGCTGCACCAGTTTGCACTCACCAGTAGTGTATGTGAGTTCCCTTCTCTCCACATCCTCTCCAACACTTGTTTCCCGTCTGGTTAATTATAGCCATTCTGACGGGTGTGAGGTGATATCTCATTATAGTTTTGATTTGCATTTCCGCCATATTCTTACCCATGAAATGGAACTCAGAAAAAACCAACTGGCAAGACTACACGTGCCACAGATCCAAAGCTTCAGCCAGATCTGCTTCTGAAGCCCAAATGTTCTTCAGCGAGAACCCTGACTAGGACACTAGTGAACCTGATCTCAACAACCCGCGCCCTTGGCAGTCTCCTGTGTCCACTTTTCTCTACGTGAAAACCGACTCGCTGAGCAGCAGATGTCTGCATTTTGTATACAAAGGCCCAGCATGCCCCACAGTGGTCCTAACACAGAGAAAATGGGCTGAAATGGACAGGAGGGGCACCCTGGGGGCAGTGCTGTCTTCTATTGGTGATGTGCAGAGTCTGGGCACCCCTTGGGCCTCGGAGACGCACGCTGAGTGCACCCCAAGAAAGGCTGCCCCAGGCGCTGGCTGGCTCCCGCTCCCCGGGCCTCCAGGGGCATCAGCAGGGCAGTCCTGGGAGGCGTGCCCCACGTGCCAGCACCTGTGTCAGGCTCGAGGGACACTGAAGGCAGCTCACAGAGGGGCTGTGTCAGGGTCCCCACGTCCCCAGCAACTCAAGCCCCAGGGGAACTCCTGAGGACGCGGCTGCCTGGCCAGCACTTGCCTGCGTCCTCCGGAGGAGCCTGTCACACACACCAAGCCCGGCGCGCCACGCAATCCTGTAAGTCCCATGTCCCTTCCTGCTGACCTCTCAGCACCACCCAGTGGTAAGGGCAGGCAGCTGCAAGGCTGGTTTTCTGTGTTTGAGGGGGGATGGGGGGCACCAGGAAGGGGACAGAGCACAGCCCGTGCTGACATACTTCCCATAGGAGAGCCTGCGAGCAGCTGTCCACAACGGTATTTCTGGAAGAGGCTACAACCGTTCCTCTGACACTCAAAGGTCAGGCTTCGAGGGGGCCGAGCGTGAGGACCTGACTTCAGAAGTGACCCCAGATGGACGGTGCAGCGCTCCTCCACCACGGAGCCCCCAGAGCTGCTCATTTCAAAACCCTCCTGGCCTCTGCTCATCTGCTCTTGTCCTGGCCCCACCCGGCTTCAGCCACACATCCCCATGGCCAAGGGCGCACTTTGCAATCACCAGGACGGATGAAATAAGAAGTAAAATTGGCACCCCCTTTCAGTTCAGCCCGCCTCCTTCGTCCCCCGTCCTCCCCAGTCACTGCGTCACTGCCCTCCTCCCCCACATGCCCCCTCACACCCGCTGCACCCAGCTGGGCCCCAGCTCCTCACCATCACCTCAGATGGGGACCCTGTAGTGGAATCTGGGTGTGAATCTGTCTCCACCGCCCACCAGCGGTGTGACCAGAGACCCATGTCATGGAGTTCAAAAGAACAATGGCCCAAGGATCACCCCGCAGGGACAGCAGCTGTGCTGCCACACAGAGCCTCAGAGCGTGGACACAGCTCATCCAAACCTGGGGCTCTCCTGGGCTCGAGGACACACGCAGGTCCTCCCAGTCCCCAGTCCCCGTCCCCGCCTCACTGCAGGGAGAGGGCCTGGGAGAGGGACAAGGCATAACTTTCCAGTGACCCGACACCAGCCTCGGGGAGGAGGTGCTCCAGAGCCAGGAGGACGGAGGCAAGCACGCACACACACGCACACACATGCCAGCGGGCTGGTCTCGGAGTGCAGCGTGCAGGCACTCACCGTGCTGACGTGTTTCTCAGAAGCACAGGCGCGATGATAGAAGCCGATCCTTGAACGGACAGACAGGACACGTTTAAACCCCTCGTTTCTTCATAACCCCAAAACCATCCTCTGGAAAAGAAGACCCACAGGACCCCGAGGGGTTTAGTCTGTTTTCACCTGGGCAATAAGGAAACTCTAGGTGCACACATACGGCTCGCCCTGATCAACTCAGCTGCTGCTCTCAGTGACAATACAGTGGTCCTGATTACAGGTAGTGACAGTCTTGTGAAAATTTTCAAAGCAACCACGAATTTCGTTTGATTTGATGAGACCACAGAAGCTCTCTTCAGGTGTCTGAACGGTACAATGACGGGAAAGCTGGGCAGTCAGAAGGACAGAAATGACACTTGACCGTCAGGGTCAGAGCTGTGACGTAACCGTCTTACAACTCCATGCTCCTCGGAAGAGCCTCTGTGTCACTCGGGTTGTCAGAGCCCCGGGGTTCTGGTGCTCTGCCCGTGGACGCTGCTCAGGGGACAGCCCTTCCACAGGGAGGTCTGCTGATGGCATTCTGTGTTTGGGGGGACAGGACCGCATTTCCACAGCCTCATTCAAGTGCATTAAACGACACAGGAAAAGGTAAACGTATGGTCAATAGGCATTTCTAGAACAGCCTGTGCCCGTGTCTGTAAACAGGGGACAAGGAGGTGCTGAGAGGCTGGGCGGGTGACAGAGACCCTCCTCCAGGAACCAAGCAAACACACCTGTAGTATTTGGGACCCTCCTCCAGGAACTAAGCATAAGCACCTGTAGTACTCGGGACTCTCTCCCAGGAACTAAGCATATGCACCTGTGGTACTCGGGACCGTCCCCAGGAACTAAGCATAAGCACCTGTAGTACTCGGGACCCTCCCCCAGGAACTAAGCATAAGCACCTGGGGTACTCGGGACCCTCCCCCAGGAACTAAACATAAGCACCTGTGGTACTTGGGACCCTCCCCCAGGAACGAAGTACACGCACCTGTAGTACTCGTGCTTGTCTTGCGAGTACAGCGGCGGGTCGATGCACGGCCGGTCATCCACCTTCTCCTCCCAGCTCCCCTCTTTCCACCCTTCTGCGTAACTTTGCAGGACATAGACCTGGTCAATAAAGGGCCCGCCGGACTCTGAAAAGACCAAGAACTGACAGTGTGACAGTAACCAGAAGTACGTTTGTGCACGTATCACACTGCCACGGACACAAACAGAGGATTATCACCTTATATAACTCCACCTTCGTCCCATAAAGGACTGGGGGAAGCTTACAAAAGCGGAGGACAGAACAAATGACATCAGGGCACGGGGTCCCTAAAGAGGATGAGAGGGGCTGCCCAGGAGGTGGCCTGTCCAGGCCTGGCTGCTCCCAGGGGATCCTCACGTCCCTCCCAACCTCTTACAGCCTCTGGACTTGCCCCCGGCCCTCTTCTCTTCTCTGTTGCACTCCACTGCAGTGCATGCAGGCCCGGTCCTCACAAAGCCACAGGTCCCACAGGTTCCGTCCTCCTCCTCTCCTGGGCACCTCGAGTGCATCCGCATGCTCCCTCCCCAGGGCCTCTGCACGGCTGTCCCCACCTGGACCGTCCCCTCCAGAGCTCATTCCTGACCCCTGTGAGGCCATTCAAACCACAGGTCCCAGGGATGCCTTCCTGAGCCACGGCCACCCGCCCCTCTGACATTCTGTATCCCTTCCTGCTTTCAGGAATTACTTATGTCCTTTATTTTCTGGCTGCCCACTCCCCACACGAGCGCCAGGAGAGCAGGGGTCTGCATCCCTCTTACCCACTGCTCCCACCCACACCTAGAACGTGCTGGCCACATCTGCAACAGTCAATGGAGATTTGTTCAAAGATGGAAAGAACAAGGGCACTACCATCTGCGTTGCTGATGGGGCCTGACGCCAGAGCACCAGGGGTTCCTCTTATAAGAGGGAAAGGACCGGACATCGAGAGGCTGAGATGGGGCACCCTGTTGCACACGCCCCAGCAGCTTGTCCAAGGACAGGCGCCCCATCCCCTTCCCCTGTGTAGGGAGGAAAGAGCTGAGCAGAGTCAAGGCTGGTCAGCAGAGCAGAGGCAAAGCCGGTCTGCTGCCTCTGCAGCACGTCAGCCAAGGCCTCTGACTGCTCTGGCTCCAGGGATGAGGCCTGGAGAAGGGCAAAGAGGTCACTCGTCTCCCCATCCCCACACACCCGCAGTTTCCAGTCACTAGGCACAATCTCAAATGGCTGAGGCCCAGACCTGTCCCCGTGTCCCGCCGGGGAGTGAAGGGCGGGTTTTCTGGGAGGCTCCATAACCCGCGGTTCAGACCAAGGCTGAGACTGTCTCCCAAGCTAAGACAGGTTGGACTAAATACCCTGCTTCAGCTCTCCTCTCGGTCGGGGAAGGATGCGTCCCAAGAATGAGTTTACATGTCTCAGAGTATGTTTTTCCAGCAAGAATGGAGACGTCAGGAGATACCTTCTGTGCCACCCTGTGCCTGCAGTGTCACAGGGCTGACTCCACCACAGAACACCTCTCAAAGTGACTGGGTCTAAGGTGCAGCGAGAACAGAATTTGAAAACAAAGATGTGTGTGTGAGCCCCATCCTCAGCGCCAGCCCCAATTCTAGGATGTGCAGGATGTTGTCCCAGAGTGGTGGGCCACTCAGAGGCTGCGCCCGCCCTTCCACGCCTCTCCACTGACTCTTTAACTTTGTCTTCTAAACAGAGCCACGGTAAGCTCTAAATACCCTTATTCTAAGAAACTCTTCAACTCTCCTCTCTTAGAAACATCACAACAGGAAGACCGAGCGGAAGTAAGTGAAACAAGCTGTGTGGTGACAGGTCTTCACCAGCACGTGGTGAGACACCACGAGGTCAAGGCCACACGCATCGTCCTGCTGGGACCCCTCCCGGCATCCGTGGTGGTGGCTTTCTCATGCTCACAGCCCTAACTGCACTGTGCTGACCTAGTGCGCTGCCTCAATTTTCAGAGGCGAGGGGGCACGTATATCTCATTCGCCTTGGGTCTATTCCCTGGAAAAATGACGGAAAGACCAAGATCACTGGTAGGCAGTTCGAGAAATGGAAGCAGGGCCCCTACGCGTGGAGCAAAGGTGACAACAGCAGGCCAGAGCAAGACGGCCCGCCAGCCTGGCCCAACGTTCATAGCAGAACCAACAACCGCCCGGCCCCAGTCAAACGCCCACCACCTCACCTGCAATGAACTGCTCGTACTCAATGACGGGGATGTTTCTGTTGAGACTTGGAAGATCAAAAAAGTCGGACCAGGGAATCCGGACCTGGTGGATGTCGGGGCTCTGCCAGTGATAGAGGCGGCCCCAGGGGGGCAGCACCAGCACCCACTCCTCGGTCTTCAGCAGAGTCTTGAGGAGGGAGGCGACCCGGATGTAGACGTCCCTGCGGAGGTTGAAGCCCTCGGGGGGGTTGACGTCGTAGAGAAGGTACCTGGGCAAGAGCAGGAGTCGACTCTTCAGGGTCGAGGCCTCTGGAGAAACCCGGACGCGCCCACGACCCACCGCCTGTCGCCCAGACTCTGGGCGCTCGACTTCAGTAGCTCTAGTCTGTAGAGTGGAGGCAGCTGCCCCACATGTCTATATAGCCCGTTACTCATACAGCCCTCAAGTAGGAGCAAAAGGCATCTCAGTGTCCGTTTAACAACCAACAATAATTTCCAGCTACGACCTGCAGCGTCTGAGCGACAGGAACCTGCGAGTCAGCCCTCCAATGGTTCTCAAACTTTTCGGTCTATAGACTCCTTTACACTTTTAACAATTACTGAGAACCCCATATCTGCTCCTGCATCAATGTGTTGTGATACCACAGGTCAGGTGGTCTCCGGCAAAACCCCACAGAGAACTGTGAGAGGAGAGGGAAAAGGCAGCTAGCATCCTGGAGTGACCGCGAAAACGGTGCTGACACCTCAGGGTTCCCTGGACACACTTTGACAACCGCTGCCCTCCCCAGAGCAAGACTCCCCATACAAGACGCAGGCAGGGTCCTCAGCTTCTACTACAACACGCACTGCTGTCCTCAGCCCTCACTTCTCTGCGGGAGTTTCTTCCACAATTTCTGTGACTACAGATGAGGCTGTGTTGTCGTGCCTGGCTTGAGCCTCCGAATCCCCCCGACTGCCAACACCAGAGGAAGACCCTCCGCCCCTCTGCACGCCCGCGCCCGCACGGTCTGCTCTGTACCGAGCCCTCAATAACCGCGGGACCGCACCGACGCCTGTGTTTTATCCGGAGACTCGTCTACGGAGCATCCGACGTCTGGATGGAAACGGAAAGATCCCGCGCAAACAGGCCGGGCTTTCCTAAGAACCGGCCCACGTGAGCGGTGGCTCAGGTGGCTCCTGGACCCCGGGGAGGACCCCATCATCTGACAGGCCGGGCTGCCCTTACGCTGGCCCAGCCTCCCCTTCCTGGGGCTCCGGGGCCGCGTCCGCCCGGGCGCCCGGTCGGGGGGGACCGGGGTACGAGGCTCGGCTGAGAGCCC